TGCCAGCCAGCAGCACTGTCGCCTGCAGGACAGAGCAGAAGAAGATTCTGCCCCAGAGGCGGGTTTCCAGTCGGCACATGGGGCGGGGCGTACGGTCACCGACTCCCAGAGTCTCTGGCAAATAATGCAGTGATCGCTGGGGTCCTTCCAGCTGTGAAATGTGACCGTCCGGATGGAGAGTTGGCACTGGCTCCTCATCACTCTGAGCTGCCACCTGTCCCTTCTCCTGCGTGTGACCAGGAAGCATTTCTTGGAACACTATTATTTTGCAAAGTGCCAAGGGGGGCGCCCAAGTACGAGGCAGTCTCTGCCATCAGGTTGCCGAGGTCAGGTGGTGAGAAGAGCGGGACTAGATCTAGAGCGTCAGCAAGGGACTCCAGAACCCCCGCTGAGGGTTTCCTGAACATGGTGCCCCGGGCCCTCCCGGCCAGGAAACCGGGGTGGAGGGTCTTCCAGGGAAAGTTCCTCACACTAGGAATTACTTGTCATTTATCTGAAGGTCAAGGAGTCCCATTCCTGTTCTGTTCGGGGGACTTTTGTTTTCCTACCTTGGGCAGCCTTAGGTGGAGGAACAAGCTGGGGGGAGGTACTGAGAAGAGGCACCACCCTCACGTCACATTAACTGGTGCAGATCTTCCTTCTCGACCTGGACCAAGCTCCCTGATGGCAATGCTTCCCTGCCTTAAGGGGTGGGAGGATGGATGGCATGAAGTGTCACAGTGCCTCTGCCTTCCTTTGCTTGAACCAGTACCAGACTCTGCTAGGTGACACAAGAGTGGGTCCACTGCCAAGTGCCCCTCATTCATTCCCATCCATTCCTGTCAAGGAGGGGTAGCATTGGTACACAGGTTTAGGATCTCACCTTGGTGATAATCTTATGATTTGCAAATTGGTCAAATAAATTTCACCCGTTTCCAGAGATAAATTTTGGTCCTAGTCTAGAAGAAAAATCGAGAATTGTGGAGGAGAAAATAACTCTTATCCCACAGCCAAGCTCAGTCTATGTCCACTTCAACTGAACTTCAGCTCTACCCATACTAGATCGCCCTTGCTCAAGCTGGCCAAAAGCCATACCGACCAGCACAGATGCCAAAATTATTCGTAGTTATTTCTGTGACTTTCATGTTCAGGCCAACATTTAGAACAATAAGATTTTAAGGGTAGGAGGCAAGTGTGACTTTTCCATGTCCTGTTCCCTGAGTTTTCAGGAATGTAAATAGGCTTCATGCTCTAGAAATCTGGTCAGAGTTCATCGTTCTGTGTCCATCAAATGGCAAGATATAGCTAATCCAGGATTTGATATCAGCCTATTATATTCCCCAAAGGAATCAATGTCTTACAGTTGGGAGAATCAATAGCCTCATTCTAGGTGAGGCAGGGCTACTCTGGTTTCTCAGTAAAAATGGCATTTCTCCTTTGGAAAAGCCTGAAGCCTTTCATTCCACAGACATTTATGGAGCACTTGCCAGGCATCGTGCTAGGCTCTAGGGATGCTGTAGAGGCAAATGAGAAGAACGTGGTCTCTGCTAATGAAAAAGAGGGTCAATAAACCGAAAAAAGATAATTGTGGATTATGATAATTATGAAGGAAGTAAGCAGAGCTATGATACAGAGTAAATGGATATGAGAGATGTATCAGAAGACTGTCCTAAAAAGGGGACTCAGAGATTATGGAAGAGAGTCAAGTATTTTCTTTTGTCCAAGTTCTAAACCAACTGAAAAATAAGATGGCAAAAAGCAACAAATGAAGAATGAAAATAGCATTAAAAGATTTCTTTTAAGTAACCTCTACACCTAAGGTGGGCTCGAACTCATGACCCTAAGATCAAGAGTCACGTGCTCCATGGACTGAGCCAGCAGGCACCTGGAAAATAGCATCGTTGCAACTGAGAAAGTCTGATAAAGGTTCAAAGTTGAATCTTGCTGTGAGGGTCAAAGCGGAATAGGTAACCATGACAGATTATGTCTTTTCCAAATGGCTATTACAGGATCTCCCACCCCACTTGCCCTTCTTACAATGTGACATTGAGAAATGAGTTCCCAAGTCCCCTCCCTTTGGATTTGGGTATTCATGTGACTCTGGCAGAAATGATGTCATGTGACTTCGGAGACTAGATCATTTAAGACAGTAGGGCGTCTTACTGGTTCTCTTGGAATGGTCCCTCTCAAAACCCAGCCATCCATGCTGTGAGGGAGCCCAAGCAGCTGGTGGACAGGCCCCCATGGGTAGGAACCTGGCTTCTGGTTCCAAGCTAAGATAGCCAGCACTAATTTGCCAACGGTGAGAATGAGCCGTTTTGGAAGTGTCTTCTTCTGCCCTGTCAATTAGAGTCAAGCTCCCCAGCTAATGCTACATGGAGCTGGGATGAGCTGTCCCCTGTGAGCCATGCCCAAACAGCAGATTTAAGAAGTTAATGATTTTTGTTACTTTTAAGCCATTAAGTTTGGGGGAGCCATAATAGCTTACACACTAACTCCCCTAGTCTAGACTTTGGAACAGTCTACCAGAGGGACATTTTGGGTTTATAAAACAAATACATGCTCAAGTCCATGTCAAAAGGAGAGAAGGAAAAAAATGGAAATACCCTGCATTTAGAATGATTGATAGATCAGCTCTACCTAGTAGAGAAAAATGGTTCAGTGGCTGTTGTCCCTAAGGCAAGCAACACATTCTGGATTTTCCTGGAACTTTTCCACTTGTGGCAGTGAAAATCCCAAGTGTTGGGCACTCCTTCAGTCCTGGGGAAACCACGATGGGTAGTACCCTTGCTGCCCCCAAGCAGAGAACTCCTTCCACTTGCACGAGAAGGAAGTAGGTTTGGAAAGAGGCCAGGGTGTTTAGGGGAAATTCTCCATGGAGAGCACAATTAGAAAAGACTGTTCCCCTAATTGTGACGTTTGAACTGGAAGCCAAAAGAGCTAACCATGAAACAAACAAACAAAAAAACAGAAGAAAAACATCCCAGGAAGAGGCAACACCATATACAAAGACCCTGAAGAAGGAAACAAAACTGGTGTGATTGGAGTTCCTGAGTTGGGGGAGATAGAATGTAACACTGTTGAAGAAGTATCCAGAAGCCAAATCAGGAAGGGCTTTTTGAACCATGGGAGAGAGTGCAAATTTCCTTTTAAGAAAAATAGGACAAGGGGCACCTGGATGGCTCAGTGGTTGAGCATCTGCCTTCTGCTCAGGTCAAGATCCTGGAGTCCTGGGATCAAGCCCCGCATAGGGCTCTCTGCTCTGCAGGAAGCCTGCTTCTCCCTCTCCCACTCCCCCTGCTTGTGTTCCCTCTCTCACTGTCTCTCTCTCTGTCAAATAATAAAATCTTTAAAAAAAGAAAAATAGGACAAAACTGGAGGGTTTTAAAGAGAGGAGTGAGAAGATCTGAATTACATTTCTCAAAAGCTTGCCCTAGCGGCAGTGTGGAGAACGCTTTGATGGGGTCAGAGGGGAAGTAGCAAGTCCAGGGAGGAGGCAAGACATGATGGCAGCTTGGGTTAGGATAGTAGAACCAACAGGACTTGCTGACGGATTGGAACAAATGAGCAGAGAAGAGTGAAATCCACAGTTATCTACCGGGGTTTTGGCGTGAGCTACCAGATGACTGGTGAACCAGTCATGTGGTTTATGGAGACGAGGAAAGTGAAGAAGAACTATTGCCTGCCACCCTGGATGTGCTGTTTGAGATGCATATCAGACATCCAAGCGGGGACATCAAGTGGGCAGTGAGAGGTGGCACAGGAGGTCAGAAGTCAAGGTGCCTGGGTTTGAATCCAGACTCTTCCACAAACCGTATGACCTTGCACAAGTTATCTAACCTCTCTTTGTCTCAGTTTTTGTCTGTCAAACGAACATAATAAAGTAACTACCGGAGAAGCAGAATTTTGTGACAAATGATAATATACACAGTAAGCACTCAATAAATGTTAACTATTAATATATTTGAGTCTGTGGCGCCCGGCTGGCTCAGTTGGTAGAATGTGCGATTCTTGGTCTCCAGGTTGTAAGTTCAAGCCCCAACTGGGTGTAGAGATTCCTTAAAAATAAAATTTTGGGGCACCTGGCTGGCTCAGTTGGTAGAATATGCGACTCGCAATCACAGGGTCATGAGTTCAAGCCCCACAGTGGGTGTGGAGCCTATTTAAAATACAATAAAATGAAAAAAATCTTTACTATATAAATATATTTAATGATTCATATTAATAAATAATATAAAGAAAAATGTATCAATATTTAAAATACATATAAATATAAAACTTTATATTTAATATATATTAAATATAAATATATATTTGAGTCTGGAGCTGATGGGTGAGGTCAGAAATAGACTCTAAATTTTGGAGCCAGCCTATATGGATGGTGTTTGTGGCTAATATTCTGGGTTAGCCTACATTCCCAACCCTCTTCTCTATTGCCTTTCTCTACTGTCAAGACTGAACCCGAGTTGTGAGATTCCTCAGGCTCCCTTGCTGTTACAAGTGGCATGTGACATAGCTCTGGCAATGACCGTGAGCAGGAATCTAATGAAGGGATAATGGCAGATGGTGCTTTGCCCCTTCCTCCTCACCTGGAACGTGGATGTGCTGGCTGGAATCCCAGCAGCTAGTTCATGACGGTGAGGTAACCAGCAGGCAAAAAGACCAGCGGGCTCACAGCGATGCCACTGCCACCTGTCGGAGCTGCCAGACGGTCACTCGTCCCAGGACGGCTCGATGGGTGCGAGAACAGTCCTCTGTGTATACTGAGAGACCACAGAGTTGGGTTTATGGGCCAGAAACGCTAATTAATGCCATGAGCCTGAAAGTTTCTTTTGGTTATTATTCCCAGCGGGCGGAGAGAAGCGTGGCCGGGAACACGGCGTGCGGCGCGCCTGGGCTCAGAGTTCGCGGGGAGGAGGGGAGGCGGGGGAAGCAGGCGTGGCCACGCGGGGGCAGAAAACCCGGGGCGCGCGGAGCCCGCAGGGTTACCCAGCGGGGGCGTCCGAGGCTCCGCTCCTCCCGGCGCCGCTGTCCCCTCGCGGTCCCCACGCCGGCCCGCGTTTCCGGCCCCGCAGACAAGCCGAGTTCCCGCCGGCCGCGGTCGCGCTGTCCCGCCATGCCCGTCGACCTCAGCGGCACCTGGAACCTGCTCAGCAGCGACAACTTCGAGGGCTACATGGTGGCCCTAGGTAGGGCGGGAGGGGCCGTCTTGAGGTCGGCGCGGAGGCCGCCGGGCCTGGCCGGGGCGTCCGTCTCCCGGGGCGGCCGGCGCCCCGTCCCCTCTTCCGCTGGTCTCCCCTCCCGTCTCCCTGTCCTCCATCCCTCCCGTCCACCCTCCGTCCCCCCCACCCCGTTTCCCAGTCTCCCCGGCCTGTGTCCCTACCTCCGACCATGCAATGTCACCCCAATCCCCTGTCCCTCCATCTCCCTGTCTCCCCGTCCCCCACCCCCTTCTCCCTGTACCCCCTCTTCCGTCCACCCCGCCCCGTCCATCCTCCATCCCCCTCCCCGTCCCCTTCCTTTCTGCTCCCCCGTCGCGGGTCTGTCCGCTTCTGCCCCCGTCGATCTCTGTCCTCCCCTGGCCAAGTCTCCCGCCCCACCGCGGACCGCTGAGGCGCCAGTCACCTCGCAGGAGGACTCGGGGGGTCCGAGGGCGTCCTACCAGCGAGAGGGCGTGCGGGCCCCTCTGCGGCGGGGCTCTGGGTGACTCTGCTACGGAGGTCGCCGGCCCTCCGAGTCCCAAGCTCCGGGCGGCACTCCGCTGCACGAGGTCCCCGCGCCCCCCACCAGGCGACTCTGGTGCCCTCTAGAGTTCGGGAACCGCTTTGGAAATCTTTAGTTTTCTGACTTCCCCTCTCCCCTGGAGGGCGTGAGGGGGAACAAGAAACCCAGACCCCTTGGTGGTCACCCACGCTCAGCCCCAAGGGTGCAGTGCCAGCCCTGGACGGTGGCGCATGCCTGGAGGTGTCACTTCTACCCCCACCCTGCCCGGCCCTGCTCCCTCCAGCGCATAGCAGGGAGCCTGTTCTGCGGGCTGGAAAGGGGCTCTGTGGTCGCCTGCGGTATGTAAGGGTTGGCAGGGTCTGACCCATGACCTTGCTTCCCAGGCGGCTTCAAGAAGGCCTGGTAGAATGCCTCTCTTATGGATTCCCAGTTTGTACTGCTCTCACTGTCATTGTTCAGATGCGGGCATCAGAGCACCTCTGTACCCAGCACCTTCCCCTAAGTGATGCCAGTCAGTGGCCAGAGCTGCTGGGAGCCTGGGGACCCAGCAGCTGTCCCGGTTTCTCCTTATCTGACACTGGGTCTGTTTTTCCATCTATAAATTGAGAGGGAAGGAGGGGTCTGATTTGTTTCTTTAAAAAAAAAAAAACATGGTAAAATATACATAACATAAAAAATGGCCATTTAAACCCTTTTGAAATGTCCAGTTCTGTGGTCCCGGTGTGTTTTTAAGAGTTGGGTGCTTTTGGTAGGCTTCTGTTCCCTTCTCACACTAAGTAGGGAAGTGGGGGGCCTCTCAAGCTAACTCTGATTCAGGCCACCATAAAACCCTGTAGCGAAGGAAGGGAGTATTTTGCTCATCCCATCCTAGGTTCGTTGGCTGGGGTCCTGTGAATTAGATCAGAGAAAGACGGATTAACCGCCGAAAGTCAGCTGCACCTGTGCCATGAGGGCACCTGGGAGCCCTCCGTGTTGTGCAGTTGGAACTTGAACATGGCTGTAGAGCACCTTAGCAAGGAGTAACTCTGTAGAGGAGTGATAAGACAGAGACTTTGAGTTTGCAGGGGGGCAAATTGTGGGGAAAGTAACAATACAAAGGGAGACCAACAGAAAATAGGGGCTGGTTGGGAAGGTTTATCATGTAGTTCTTCTGGGGCCATCTCCCAGCTGCTAAGAGTCTAGAGTCGTCTCCCTACTTTCTGCCTGTCCTGGAACAGAGGGGAGAGGGGACAACTTCACAAACTTATGTCCTGCTTTTAGGCAAATGGAGGAAGGCAGAGAGCTTCCTTCTGTCGGCTTCTTCCTGGTTCCCTTCTCCCCAGTATGCCAGAGTGGCAATATTTTGGGGTGTCTTATCCTGCTCTCCCTTCAACCTGAATCTCATTTCCTTTCTGTTTCCAATTCCTAAGTAGGAACGAATGCTCATGTTTCCCGAAGGTGGTAGGTCCTCATACGTTACTTACCTGTCCACCTCCAAATTAGTGGTGACATGTGGTGACACATGACCATAAGTGCTTTCTTCCCTGATTTATCCGTCTGCGATCTGGCTACTTGTGTGGGGGACAAAGGCGAAATGTCAGGTGATGGCTTTGAATGTTGCCTTGCTGTGTACTGTGTCTGTGACAATCTCCCTGGCTTTTAGGGCAAAAGGGAATGGAGTCAGAGTCACCATTCCAAGTATAGGAAGACATCCTGTGCTAAGTCTGTCTGATATTACAAAGCAGCCTCCCGCACATCAGAATAAGTGTTTTTCACACCATGTTAGTACCATCCTTCACCTGTCCCCACACTTTCTTGCTTTTCTGTATGCTCTCCTATGATTTCCTGTTTGATACTTTTTTTCCCCATGATGTCAGTAGAGGCTTAACAATGACCTGCTACTGTATTTGATCCTAGAAGCTAACAGGCTATTTATTTGTTTACTCAACATATTTATTTATCATGCAACTCCCTTCCCAGAGGACTAACCCGTGTAGTACTGAGTCAGCATCCTGCCTCACAACCCCTATTCTGACTTTCGGTTCAGGTTCCAGAAAGATACTGGATTTTGACAACACACATAAGTCTTACTTGCAATCTGTTTTCCAAAAGAATTGTAAGGGCGCTAAGGGTTTCTGGAATAGAGAGGCCTTTTAGGGTAACAGAGCGCCACACCAGAAGCCCAGCGAGCTTCACTGTTGACTGTGGGTCATCGAATCAAAGTTACATAACTTGTCAGTTCCTTTAGCTTCCCCTTTTGTTAACCGAGGTCGTTGGGCCAGATCTGATATTCTAAGTATCTCAATTACAAGAGATCGCTTGCATTTTATACGATAGCTGAAATCAGACTTAAAACCTCTTGCCAGTTCCTCACAAGTTGGGAAGAAAGCGATCGGAAAGACAAAGGAACACAGACTCCAGGGTCTACTCGGTCTCCCTGAGGCAGATCAGGGGCTCAGGACCAGCAGAGGGTAGGGTTTTGTTACTCAGAACTAGCTGGATTTTTTTTTTTAAAGGTTTTATTTATTTGGCAGAGAGAGAGAAATCACAAGTAGGCAGAGAGGCAGGCAGAGAGAGAGGAGGAAGCAGGCTCCCGGCTGAGCAGAGAGCCCGATGTGGGGCTCGATCCCAGGACCCTGTCATTCTTAATGACATTTCTTGTCTAGCTTACTTTATTGTAAGAATACGGCATCTAATACACATAACATACAGAATGTGTATTAACTGTTGGTGCTATTGGGAAGGCTTCCCGTCACTAGCAGGCTATTAGTAGTGAAGTGTTGAGGGAGTCAAAAGTTATACAAGGATTTTCAGCTGAGCACACAGATGGTGTGGAGGGGGGGACTCCCCTAACCCTTGTGATGTTTGAGAGTCAACGGTACCATAAAACCTATTGTCCCTATTGATGTATATTCTTTTTTAAAAATAATTTTTTAAAAGATTTTAGTTATTTATTTGACACAGAGATCACAAGTAGGCAGAGAGGCAGGCAGAGAGAGGGGAGGAAGCATGCTCCCTGCTGAGCAGAGGGGGCTCGATCCCAGGACCCTGGGATCATGACCTGAGCCAAAGGCAGAGGCTTAACCCACTGAGCCACCCAGGCGCCCCCCTATTGATGTATATTCTAATGCCAACTTATGCAGAAGTATTTAGACCTTTCCTGATGACTTTTGCCTCTACTAATGGCAAACTAGTTTATTTATACTAACTCTCCCAAAGAAAATAGCTAAATTAAGCTAGACCAAAAATATATATGTTTTTTTAACAGACTGTAGTTTCACTGTGAATCATTCTTGGTCGTCCAGAAAAATCTCAAGACCTGAACTTGAATTCAGGTTCTTCCAGACAGCTAGTAGCATCTTTTTTTCTTTAAAGATTTTATTTACTGATTTGTTAGAGAGAGAGAGAGAGAAAGAGAGCACTCACAGTCAGGGAGAGCGGTAGGCAGAGGGAGAAGCAGACTCCCCACTGAGCAGGGAGCCCTATGTGGGACTCGCTCCCAGCACCCTGGGACCATGACTAGAGCTGAAAGCAGATGCTTAACTGATTGAGCCACCCAGGTGTCCCGGAGACAGCTAGTAGCCTTAAAAGCAGTTAAAACAGAACAAAATAAAACAAACCAAGGGGGTGGGGAACAACTCTCTTTGGAGGAAGAGAGCAAGGTGTTGAATTGTTTCTATGTGTATATGAACTTCTTAAGGAATGTGAGAGAGTGCCAAAATGATAAAGAATTATCATGCCAAGGTCTAGGAGAGAATAAGGATCCAGAGAGGGGAGCCCAGCACTTAGGGTGGCTCGTCCCTTCAGGGTGCTTGTCCGACTAAGCTGCAGTCGGGGGAGCTGCATAGGATTAGGGCAGGGGGCGAAAGTGGGAGTCCTGAGTCAGCCAGGGGTAGAGACCCTGTAAACCCACATTCTGGGCTGGGATTCTGAAAAGCTGCACCTGAGAAGCAAGGGAGGGAGACCTGGAAGTAAAGAGCTTTTGAACAGAGTGTAGTTTCACTGTGAATCATCTTGATGGCCCAGAAAAATCTCAAGACTTGAACTTGAATTCAGATGCGTCCAGATAGCTAGTGGCCTTGAAAGCAATTAAAAAACCCTCTTTGGAGGAAGAGAACTATGTACAACTCTACAGAAACAATACCCAGAAAATAATCACAGTCAAGCAAGTACCTAAGGAGACAAAAACACATGACAAGAAAATTCTGGAAGGTGTTGGCTCTGTCACGGTGATCGTGGCTCTGTCTGTTGCCGTGACTGTGGGTGTTTGCTGAAGTCCAAACACGCTGAATTGCACATATTAAACACATAACTGCTTTTTGTACATCAATTTTATCTCAGTAAAGCTGTTAAAAAAAATTAAAGGACCCTGATAGCAAGAATCCGTAGAAACAACCAACAACAGAAACAGGGTCTCCAGACACTTGCATTATCCGAAATAGAACAAGAAGCAGTTAGGCTGAGCTTAATCATGGCAAGGAATCAGAATCTATACAAAGTAACAGCAGAATTAAGAAAGAAACAAATAGAAATTCTAGAATTGAAACATAAAAAGCAAACTTAGAAACTTAGCAAGCACTGTTCTCAGATTCTCCTCTGTGTCCCGTGGTTTCCGAGATAAGGATACCCCTAACCTCCGTTGTAGAGAAGGCCACCCTGGTATGAGGGTCTTAGGACTTGCCTGAGGGGAAGGTCCGAAAGCTGTTCTCGCACATACCACTCCTCAAATTCCTTCAGCTCCAACTACTCGATATGCCAAGCTACCATATTTTGGGGGGAGCATGACCTAAGCCCCATCAAGAACAGAGTTTCTGCCCAGGAGGATGAAAAAGTTCTAGAATTAGGTAACGGTGGTGACTGGACAACATTGTGAATCTACTTACCACCCTTGAACTGTATGCCTTAAAAACGGATAAAATAGTAAATTTTATGTTACGTATATTTTATCGTGATTTAAAAAATTATCAAAGAACGTTCTATTGCAAGAAGACTTTAGTAGAAATCCTATAATAATCCTATATTATGTTAAAAAATTAAAACTCCTTTTAAATGCAGTTGTTTGTGTTGATTAATAAGTACATTTTGTGAATTAGCCTTCTCTCCTGTCTTCACCATCTCTTATTGATGTGAGAAAGAAAGGCAAAAGAAAAATTCAATTTCCTTTCTTCCTAGAGCCCATTGTCAAGTCCTTGAAACAGGTAGAGTGACCTTCCACTGGGAGCTCAGATACCTCAATGCTGACACTTGCTAAAGGTGAAAGGCAATCTTAGCTGACTCCCAGGATCCTGTATGTCTACTTTAACATATAAAATTCCTTTGGAAACTTCCTTTCTCTCTGCCCCCCAAGATCCAAATTGGCGATCATCCTCCAAGCATGTGACCCACCGGTATACATCTGAAGGATCTCATGATTGAGTTTTTACTAGACAGTAATAAATGACCTTCTCCTAACAATAACTAGCCCCCTCAGGTTCCTGGAAACCTTGTTTCTGAAATACCTGGGAGACTTACTCTATCCCTAAACCCCTCCCAACTTGAAAGTATTTAACGGGCCACTCCTCGTGACCTCAGTGCAGTGCTTTCTGCCCACAAGCCCAGTCCCTGTGCTTTAATAAAACTACCATTTTGCACCAAAGACATCTCAAGAATTCTTTCTTGGCCATTGGCTTTGAACCCTAACATCTTTCCTACATCATTATGACTTTACACAGTGAACTAAAACATGTTTCTTTGTTTGCTTATTTTAAGATCTTATTTATTTATTTGACAGAGAGAGACAGAGAGAGAGGGAACACAAGCAAGGGGAGTGGAAGAAGGAGAAGCAGGCTTCCCGCTGAGGGGAGAGCCCGATGCGGGGCTCGATCCCAGGACCCTGGGACCATGACCTGTACTGAAGGCAGATGCTTAATGACTGAGCCACCCAGGCACCCCTAAAATTTTTAAAAAATTTTATTTAAATTTAATTAATGAACATCAAGTGTATTCTTAGTTTCAAAGGTAGAGTTCAGGGACTCCTCAGTCCTCTATAACAAATGCTGTCTTAATCCCAAGTGTAAATTCATGAAGCGGATAAAGGCTGAGTTGTGGTGCTTGAGTTTGGGTTGGGCCCGAGTGCTGTCCCCTGGGCTTCTTTATCCTCTTCTCTGCCCCCTGGGACTGCTTCTTCCAGGCCCGACTGCAAATCCATTACCTGAGGTACAGTCGGCCAAAGACTCTTCCCTGAAAGCTGCTCAAGTTTTTTTTTTTTTTTAAATGTTTTTTTAAGATGTTATTAATTTATTTATTTGACAGAGGTCACAAGTAGACAGAGAGGCAGGCAGAGAGAGAGGGGGAAGCAGGCTCCCCGCTGAGCAGAGAGCCCCATGTGGGGCTTGATCCCAGGACCTTGGGATCATGAGCCGAGCCAAAGGCAGAGGCCCCAACCCACTGAGCCACCCAGGTGCCCCTCAAGCTTTTTTAATCAAGTCTTTGGATAGAGTTCTGCCAGGACAGCTCCCTACAGATCCAATTTCGGCACCAACTGGCACTGAAATCATCAAAGAAACACTAGCCATGAAATGCAATGATTCTGAGGACACCTGCCAAATTCTTCACTTTTGCATCTTGAGTAAATGTTGAGACTTCTTTTTTTAGAAGTTTTTTTTTTAAGATTTTATTTATTTAATAGAGAGTGAGAGAGAGAATGACAGGGGAGAGGGTCAGAGGGAGAAGCAGACTCCTCATGGAGCTGGGAGCCCGAAGTGGGACTCGATCCCAGGGTTCCTGGACCGTGACCTGAGCTGAAGGCAGTCGCTTAACCAACTGAGCCACCCAGATGCCCCGAGACTTCTTTTTTTAAAAATTGTTTTTTGGGGCACCGGAGTGGCCCAGCCAGTTGAAGCAGCTGCCTTCAGCTCAGGTCATGATCCCGGGGTCCTGGGATTGAGCCCCACATCGGACTCCCTGCTCAGTGGGGAGCCTGCTTTTCCCTCTCCCACTCCCCCTGCTTATGTTCCCTGTCCCACTGTCTCTCTTTCTGTATCAAATAAATAAATAAAATATTTTTAAAATAATAAATAAATAAATAAAAATTGTCTTTTAAGGTATTGACTTTGCTACCCGCAAGGTAGCCAAGTTGCTGAAGCCACAGAAAGTGATTGAGCAAAACGGGGATTCCTTTAGCATCCACACATACAGCAGCCTGAGGAACTACCTTGTTACATTTAAAGTCGGAGAAGAATTTGAAGAGGATAATAAAGGCCTGGATAACAGGAAATGCAAGGTAAAAAAAAATGCTTTTTTCAAATGATAATATAAGGCTCTTGATTTTTCAAGATTAACTTGGCCTTCTTAGTACCCGCTGAGGACCTGCCACAGCAAACCAGACTCTTGTCCCCTCTCTCACGCAGAGCTTGGTCACCTGGGACAATGACAGACTCACTTGTGTCCAGAAGGGGGAGAAGAAGAACAGAGGCTGGACCCATTGGATTGAAGGGGACAAACTCCATCTGGTACTTGCCACACTGTGTTTGTACATCTGATGAGATGAAACCATGACTGTGTCCCACCATTCCAGCCCACTGTTTTCAATCTGGCCTGTCACCTTCTGGTCTCTGGCGGAGTATTCTGCTTTTTCATTTACGACAAAACATATTCCGGGTTTCAAAATAATTTTCCTGTTGAATTCATGATGTGTTAATTGAAAAAAATATGGAGGAGCGCCTGGGTGGCTCAGTCGGTTAAGCGTCTGCCTTTGGCTCAGGTCGTGATCCCAGGGTGCTGGGATCGAGTTCTGCATCGGGCTCCCTGCTCTCTCTCGCTCTCTCTCTTTTTCTTTCAAATAAGTAAATAAAATCTTAAAAAAAAAAGAAAAATAAGAAAATTTATATACGTGTATATTACATTACCTATATATATATATAATAAGGTAGTAAACTGGCTTCATACTATTCTATCAGGTTGGTGAACTATCATTTTTAAAAAACATTTCCATAATCTCAGTGTCCAGGAGTATTGTTCTGGGGCATTTTCTGCCATTGCTTAAATTCACATAAATAGAACCTTTTGCATCCGTGGATTTATTTCCTTAGGGAGAATTCAGAGAACCCTTGTCGGAGGCACGCACATCATTGCCGCTCTCTACTTAGCTGCCTTACTCGCTTCCGAAAGGTCATCTCCTTGCTGATGCCACCAGCACTTCATGAACATACAAGTTATAACTCAAGCTAATCAATAATTTCTGAATATAATTTAGAAGGTATGGGGGCGTCTGGTGGCTCAGTCGGTTGAGTGTCCGATTCTTGATCTCAGCTCAGGTCTTGATCTCAGGGTTGTGAGTTTAAGCCCCTCATTCGGCTCCGTGCTGGGTGTGAAGCCTGCTTAAAAAGAGAGAGAGAGAGAAGGTATAAAATTGCACATCAAGGCTTAACTACAACTTTTTATTTTATTTATTTATTTGACAGAGAGAGAGACAACGAGAGAGTGAACACAAGCAGGGGGAGTGGGAGAGGGAGAAGCAGACTTCCCACTGGGCAGGGAACCCGGTGCGGGGCTCCATCCCAGGACCCTGGGACCATTACCTGAGCCGAAGGCAGAGGCTTTAACCCACTGAACCACCCAGGTGCCCCCGATTTTGGCTTTTTAAATGAGAATTGCTTCCTGCCATATATATTAGAATGGCTTACATTTTTCAAGTGATGATTTTGGGCTCAATTACTGTGCTAAATCTTTGCATGCAGTATCTGACTTGGTCTTCAAGACAGTCCTGTGAAAGGGACACATTTTTTCCCACTTACAAATGAGACTAAGATTTAGAAATTCCCCATGGCTGCCAAGTGGAGATGCAAATCTAGGTCTGATAAAAATGTGTGCTTTCAACTCTACACCTTTTTGCCTCAATGTCCATGAAATCCAAGCCAGAACAGTGAAAACAAAATTAGAGCCCTTATCTTAAAATCCTAGATTGAGGGGCGCCTGGGTGGCTCAGTGGGTTAAAGCCTCTGCCTTCGGCTCAGGTCATGATCCCAGGGTCCTGGGATCAAGCCCCACATCGGGCTCTCTGCTCAGCAGGAAGCCTGCTTCTCCCTATCTCTCTCTCTGCCTGCCTCTCTGCCTACTTGTGATCTCTGTCTGTCAAATAAATCCTAGATTGATAAATCTTACACTCTTCTGATGATAGAAACAAAATTAAGAATAAATAAACAATATGCCGTCACAAAAATGTAATATGGAACTTCAAAGAAAACACCAAATACGTTTGAGGATATTTAGATTTGTTGGCGGTAAGAAGTAATGTTCAAATGGCATGCATCCTTTCATGGCATATCTGTGAACTCTGCCCAAGCCGAGAATAGAGGGACCCTTCTTCTGAGGCCACTCACAGGACAATCCCTCCATGCTGTGATATAACATGAAATAAATATTTGGCCTTTGTGCCTGATTCCTAAAACCCTTGGAATCTCCAATGAGTGTCTCCTGTAAGCTAATGAGATGATTGGAGATTGGGGTCTCCCAGATGGCCAAAGGTTTAGTCAATCATCCCTACATAACGAAACCTCCACCAACACTCCTAAACGAGAGGGTTTTGGAGAGCCTCGTAGTTGGTGAAAACATTGATGTGCTGGGAGGGTGGCGTTCCTGGAAGCGGCCTGGAAGGTCAGCACACACACCCCCATACTGTGTCCTATGCATCTACTTGGCTGTTCTTGGGTTGGATCTTTTATAATAAACCGTAAATGTAAGTAAAGAGTGTTTCTGTGAACCATTCTAGCAAATTATTGAAACTGAGGAGGGGGTTGTGGGAATCCCGCTCGTAGCTGCTGGGTCAGGAGTTCGGGTGGGCTTCTTGTGACCGATGTCTGAAGTAGGGGCCGTTTTGGGGACTGAGCCCTTCACCTGTGGGGTCTGCGCTAGCTCTGGGTCATTAGTGTCAGAATCGAATTGAATTGTTGGACACCCAGTTGGAAAAGACACCGCAGATTTCGTGACAGCACTGTTGTGAGTAATAATAATAATAATCACCCACTTTGCCCACGCATCTTCTTTCTCCTCCTGTTCCCCCTTGTCCCTAGGAAATGTTCTGTGAAGGCCAAGTGTGCAAACAGACGTTCCAGAGAGCCTGAGCCGTATCCAGCCCCAGAGCCCACATGCAACTGCAGCTTCATGTTGAAATCTATCCCCAAATGAACAGATGTTCGTCTGTCCTGGTCTGGCGACAGGAACCTGTGGTGGGAGAGCTGTCCCACAGCCTGTACCAGAAGCGATTTACTCAGACTGTGGCAAAATGGCTCCGTTTCAATAAACCTGTCCAACGATCCCAACTTTTTTTCCTCCTAATTAGTGTATCCTATTATTTGAAAAAATGCACCACGACACACCAATGAACAGGATGTAATTCCATCTTCAAAGTCTAGTGAAGAAAAGGACAAAACAAGCATCAGAACTGCAGTGTTAAGTGCGGGCAACTATGAGAGCTCAGTGGGGGGACCTGACTTCTGGGGACAGGCAAGGGACGGCAGGGGTTGAGGGTAGTGGAGGGGGGTCTCTAAGCTCAGAACTGAAGCATGAGTGGGCAGGAAGCATTCTAGTAAAAGGCTGGGGATAAGTTAGAGGGTGTTCGAGGAACTGAAAGACTGCGTTTGCTGGAGCGTGGGTGTATGTGGGTGGAGTGGTAAGAGAAATCAGAGGAGGCTGGAAGCAGTCAGGGAGCCTGTCATGAAGAATCTGGAAGGTGGGGTGACAGAGCTAAGATTTGTCCCCAAGGTCATAGGGAGATGGTGCCTGGCTCTAAGCAGATCTGCACATCCAGGTTGGCTCACAGAAGGGAACCCCAATTGCACAGGGGAGAAAGGGCGGTAGGTGGGGGTTGCAACTTGGGAGCCAGTTTAGAAAGCACTGCTAGAAATCCCCGTGTGAGCTGGTGATGGTCAGGGGCAGCCGGACGGAGCCCCAGTCCCAAATACAGTGAATGGACTCAGGGCTGCAGAGAAATAGCTAATCATTTAGGACGCAGAGTCCATAGTCCAAGGTGGTCCAGTCTATGAGCCGTAGGGATGATGGAAGGGGAGGAGTCAAGGAAGACACCCTCTTTTGGGTTCCTCCAGCTGTTAAGAAGGGAGGTCAGAGCCAACCAGAAAGAAGGCAACACAACCAGAAGAATGAGCTCTGAATTTTGAGGGGCCTGTGCTCAGTGTGAGCCAGGCTGGTGGGAGATGATGTCAGGGACTTGATCCCAGGACCCCGAGATCATGACCTGGGCCAAAGGCAGGCGCTTAACTGACTGAGCCACCCAGGCGCCCTACGACTTTATTTGTAAATAACCTCTACACTCAAGGTGGGCTCGACCTTACAACCCCAAGATCAAGAGCAGCATGCTCTACCGACTGAGCCAGCCAGGTGCCCCAGTGACATTGTGTTCCAAGTGAGAAGAGAGAAACCGGAGGCCCAAAGGGGTACACTAGCAGGCGTGGCCAGAGGGGCTGGAGAAACAGGGTGGCATCTGGGAAGCGAAGGCAGGAGACGTTTCAGGCCACCAGGGAGTGGTGGCCGCGCACTGAGATGCCCCAGGCAGCAAGAAGTCAAGCTGGATTGGTCTGTCCCCGGAGAGGTTGGTTTAGGGGCAGGGCTGGTGCTGAGCCAAGCACACCGGAGGTGAAGCAGGGGAGGTGACCAACTAACTAACAGAAACCGACTTGTTACTTTGACCTTTTAAGCAGAGACTTTAGAACCAGAGAAAGTCAGAGGGCAACTGTGGGTTCACTTAGATAGGGTGACCCCACCAAGCAGAAAGACTATGAAATTGTTTCAGGATTGAATCAGGTAGTAAGTGTATTAGCTGAGCTGACAGATGGACATCCAACTTGAGAACCAGGTGGTGAGGAAACATTTCTTTCTTTTTGGTGCAAAATGGTGGTTTAAAGCCCAGGGACAGGACCCGAGGGCAGAAAGAGCTGCTGCACTGGGGTCTTGAGGATGCTGATTACATACTCAGGAGTTGGGGGAAGTAAGGAAAAGTTGGTTTCAAAAGAGCTTTCATGGGGCGCCTGGGTGGCTCAGTGGGTTAAGCCTCTGCCTTCGGCTCAGCTCATGATCCCAGGGTCCTGGGATCGAGTCCCGCATCGGGCTCTCTGCTCAGCAGGGAGCCTGCTTCCTCCTTTCTCTCTGCCAGCCTCTCTGCCTACTTGTGATCTCTCTCTTTGTGTCAAATAAATAAGTAAATAAATAATCTTAAAAAAAAAAACAAAACAAAACAGAAAACCTTTCATATGCCAAAGAGGACCAACCTACAAGATACCCAAGGCCTTGCCATTGTCAAGTTAAGGTTGTTTTCTCTTCTAGCAAGTTATTAGCATTCAGTTGGGACATCCCTGGAAGAATGTCACACATGTCTCACCCAGGAGTGGGGGTGGGGGGAGGTTTCAGGGGGTCAACATGTGTTTTATGTGCAGCTAGCCTTGTGTTCCCTCATCATTTCCCCCCTGAACAATTTTGACCCTTAAATCTTTAAGGTTGCTGAAGGTGGAAGGTCCATCTTCTGTAACATCTTCCTACTGAATAGGGGCATAGAGATGTCCCTGCCTAGGGGTCAATATTGGTCAGTTGGGGAACACATAAGTGGATTAAAAAGGGGGAGGCAGCTGAATCCAACGAGGTCAGCATATATGAACCTCCCTGAGAAGGGATTGTCTGTTGGTTGGATTGTAGGGATGGAGTCTTGACACCAAGCAGAGAGATATTGAAAAAGATGATGCATTAAGATTAGTGTGGCTCAGGGCATCTGGGTGGCTCAGTGGGTTAAAGCCTCTGCCTTCGGCTCAGGTCATGATCTCAGGGTTCTGGGATCGAGCCCTGCATCGGGCTCTCTGTTCAGCGGGGAGCCTGCTTCCTCCTCTCTCTGACTGCCTCTCTGCCTGCTTGTGATCTCTGTGTCAAATAGATGAATAAAATCTTAAAAAAAAAAAAAAGATTAGTGTGGCTCTAAGAATGAGAAGTCCAACAAAGAGATCCTTCACAGTTGACCATAATTTTCCTCCCATCCAGGAGTTAAAAGCAAAAAGGACCAATTTGATATTCATGTCAGTTAGAAACCCAGACATATTTGTGGGTATCCAGAATGTATATACAGCATTCTGCTTTTATGATAGTGCAAGTTCTACCTTAGTATTTAAGAGAAATGCCATTTTAAGTGTCATTTAGAGCTTTGACCAGGTACTTAGTAAGAGCTTCCATGTGCCTAACATCCTTCGGTCTCAAAGAGGGAAAAAGGATAGATGCTAGGTGGTCATACCAGTGTTAATGCAGAACACATTCACCATCATTTTAAATTTGAAGGTTTGCTGGGTTGGTAATTGTTGTTTAAATACTCATATGCCCATGGGGTCCTGTTATCCCTATGGAATAACAAATAAGATTATCTATATTGAAATAGGAAAGCTATTTCTCTGAAGTTATAAGTTGTCTAGCTTAGGCAAACAACATTCAAAGACGATCAGAACTAGAACTTAACATCTACAAGGGTGAGTTATTGAAACAACTTCTCTCGAAAATAAGCCTCATTTTTCATCAGAAATTTATTTCTTGAACTTTGAAGAACTTGCCATCAGACATGCCTGCAAGACCTGTAGATTTGGGCAGAGTCCTCTCCTCGAGGTCCCCATAATATCCTGAGGTTCCCACACCTGCCAGGAAGTGACATTCTTGACTCACCTGGTGAGGCTGCTGGGAGCTCTGTAAGGAAGGTGTCAGGCCAACAGTTCCAAGGGGCTTTATGGCTCCAGGTTTCATAAAGTCAACTTAGTTCCTCAAAGCTGTTCAGTCATATCTGAGTCTATGCATGTCTCTCTCAAATATGACATTCCAGTCCAAGCCTTGCTAAAACAACCAGCATTCCAAGGGTGTCCTGTTATAAGAGGAACAGATTCTTACTGAACTTATGCAAATGATTATGATTGCCATGGAAGAAAGAATATTCCCTGAGACCTTTTGAATCAGAGGGCTCAGGTAGAAAAGTTAAATGTTCAGTTTACAAATGAATACTTTATCACGTTTCTGTAAGTTCATAGATTTTTTTTAAAGATTTTATTTATTTATTTGACACAGAGAGAAAGATCACAAGTAGGCAGAGAGGCAGGCAGAGAGAGGGGGGAAACAGGCTCTGCCTTTGGCTCAGGTCATGATCTCAGGGTCCTGGGATTGAGCCCCCCAGGGCTCATATATATATATATATATGATTATAGTTTTTTGTTACTCTTGGTCGAAACATTGCTGGTTCTCTAATGTTTACTCCTCCAGGTTAAGGAAACTTTCTCTTAAGAGATCTATGAACTTGGGGTACCTGGGTGGCTCAGTGGGTTAAGCCTCTGCCTTCGGCTCGGGTCATGATCCCGGGGTCCTGGGATCGAGCCCTGCATCGGGCTCTCTGCTCAGCAGGGAGCCTGTCCCCCCGCCCCGCCTACTTGTGATCTCTCTCTCTCTCTGTCAAATAAATAAAAAAATCTTAAAAAAAAAAATCCATTCATTTCAATCTTAGTCCATCCTGACCACACCTAAAATTCCTTTCCAAAGATATCCCTTCACAAACCTTCTACAACTTTCTTTCGCATTCAGATTTTTGTCCCAAGCCATTTCTTTCCAAATAACCATCTTTTAAAAATTTTTTTATTTATTTACTTGACAGACAGAGATTGCAAGTAGGCAGAGAGGCAGGCAGAGAGAGAGAGAGGAGGAAGCAGGCTCCATGCTGAGCAGAGAGCCCGATGCGGGCTCGATCCCAGGACCCTGGGATCAGGACCTGAGCCGAAGGCAGAGGCTTAACCCATTGAGCCACCCAGGAGCCCCCCAAACAACCATTTTATTTAGAACACAATTACCTTCTTTAAGTTTCAATAAAAATGCGTCCCCATGGTTTGTCTCCCCCTGTGGACTCTGAGAAACAAATTGAGGGTTTGGGAGTGGGGTGGAGGGGGTGAGTCTGGTGGTGGGTATTCAGGAGGGCACGTATCGCATGGAGCACTGGGTGTGGTGCATAAACAAAGAATTCTGGAACACTGAAAAAAATTAAATTTAATTAAAAAAACGCATCGCCATTCGTTATATCTTTCTTTCTTTTTTTTTTAAAGGTTTTTTGTTTTTTTTTTTAAAGATTTTATTTATTTATTTGACAGAGAGAGATCACAAGCAGGCAGAGAGGCAGAGAGAGAGGAGGAAGCAGGCTCCCCACTGAGCAGAGAGCCCGATGCGGGGCTCGATCCCAGGACCCTGAGATCATGACCTGAGCCGAAGGCAGTGGCTTAACCCACTGAGCCACCCAGGCACCCCTCGTTATATCTTTCTTACAT